ATTTCACCCTCCACTATTTTTTCCCCTCGAACAAACAAATAAAAGGAGCCGCCGCGTGGCGTGTGGCGGTGCGCGGCTTCCCAAAGCTGAGTGCATATTTCACCTGCAGATAAAAAGATACGGTTATTTCGTCTCAATTGGGCCCTCCTCTCGCCCACGCCCCGTTAATATCCCACTGGGCCCGGCCGCGTGTCGCTCGGCTTCGCAGCCCCTTTCATGTGCGTAACCGGTGGGCGCGCAGCCACGCGGCTGAGGACGGGAGCGGAACAAAGGCATGAGGGGAGGTCTATTTCTCCGTGTGGAGACTGACAGCGGCAAAATAACCATCAGCAGGAAAAACAAAAAATAATAATAAATAAAGGTGCGGCCCAAATGGGAAAAATGACACACATTTACAGAAAGAAAAAAAATGTGTATATCGTCCCACTGGACCTCTTGCCAACGGCCACACACGCGACGGGGCCTTCAGCGTGCGGTTTGCCGCAGCCCTCCTCCTACGCACAGCAGGCAAAGCCCACAAAAGGCCTGCCTCGTCCGCGCGCCTGTGTGTGGGAGAGCGGCAGTCAGGCGATACACACACGGCACCCCAAAGGAAGAGTGCGGCAGAAAACAACATAAACAGAGACGCGTAGAAAAAAAAAAGATCAGCCCCAAAGCAAAAAAGAAAAAAAGGGGGGAAAACAAAGTAAATTGTCCTCGAGGAGGGTAATTTATTCCTGGCGGTGTGCGTCTGTGCGGGAGAGGGCGCACACACCCCTCACAGTGCCGCAAACGCCCACACGCCCAACAGAAGAAGCGGTGACAGCACTCGGCTCGCACAGCCACATCCACCCACGTTCTTTTCTTTTCGTTCCACCCTCATTTTAATCTACCACTCCCTCTCCAAAAACCTCAGTTCGTGGCCACGGCTTCGTCAGGAGTAGATAAGGACGCAGGTTGCAACCCAACCCCGGGTGCAGACAACGTGTCGCTCACATGGTTACTGGAAGTTTTTTGAACCCGAACAGAATCGTCGCCTTGTGGTTTCGCATCTTCCTGTGCTGGAATGGAAACTTTTCTCTTGTGAAGGGCACTAATCTCCGTGCCAGCCGACGGGCGGTTGTACAGCAGAACGTTCGTCACCGTCACACGGCCCTCGTCGCTCGCTGCCTCTTCTGTGACGCCGCCGTCCCCGCCAATGTAGAAGTGTGAGATCGTGCACGGCTTCGTTTTGCACTGCAGTGCCGCTTGTGAACTCCCCACACGCTGGCCGTCAACGTACACGGAGCCCTGGCTGTCGCCCTCCCGCACGATCGTCACGTGGTATTTTTTATTTGTCTCCCACGTGCTGGTGCGATCGCTTCTCTCTCTTCGCCCCTGCAAAGCACACTCCACTGTTTGTCCTTCGTGCATGACAGACCCAAAAGCACAGTGCGGGCCGTGTCAGCTATCCTCACACCCATCAAAGGAATAGGGCCACTGAGTTCCTCCAGCCCCGCGTGAATGGTCACCGTCGCCATAAGAGTGAACCCGTTGTTCGCAAAGTAGTACGGCTGATTCTCCCCCTGTTTGCTCACCGGCCACTCCGCCCATGAGCCACGCCCTTTGAACCTCACACCCCCATTGTCAGTCCCCTCTGTGCTTGCCAGTTCTCCACTCGTTACAGTGGCGTTCACCCCGAGGTACTCGTCCTTCCATTGGCCCTCTGCAAAAGAGCCAGCCAAATACCCAACCAGCCCTTCAGTGGGCACCGCTTTGCTGCAGCCTGCGCCAGGAGAGGCAGCTGCACCAGCCTCCGTTGGAAGGCACAACTGCTTGACACGTTCATCCACTTCTTTCCATGTTTTCACCACCTTCTTTATCTTCTCCAGCCGCTCCTTCAGGTGCGCAAGGTAAAGGCCCTCAGACATCCCCACGCCACCACCCACTCCCACTGAACGCGGTTCCTTGCAAGGAGATCAACTCCCCCCCGCCCCTAAACAGTAGGGCACTGCCGGC